AGCACCGAAGGCTGTTCTTCCTGCACTACTTTTCTTCATAATCTAAGATGGCGTACCTGTCGTTCATATTACTGACATTCTTACGGATGCCAAAATCAGTCAATCCTCGTAAGTGATTCAGTACAACATGCAGATTCAGAGAATGCGTACATTGATGAAAGCAATTGAGTTCATTATCAATATTCAACAGCATGTGTTCTTATGATTTTGTCTTCTTATGATAATTTATTACGAAATTGGACACTTTTGCTGATAACGAGTGTCACTGCCTTAGATTACTGCTTTGTGCCATGTGTAGCTATGCAATTCGAAGTCAAATCATGAGTATGCTTAAGCTTAGACTTACGCTTAGTCCAATGATGAGGCTAACACATCTGCCTCGACTTATGTATGAAGCGTTTGGGCATATGAGCATCTGTGATGGCGTGGTGGTGCCGTTATCAGCAAAAGTGCCCGAAATTATGTGACTGTAGCGTGTCACTATGAGTTAATTGGTGTTCGAACCCGTCGTGTTATCGTAACGTGTTCGACCGTGTAAATTAATGACGTTCACGCATCAACTATGCTTCAAGTGTAATTTGCACATTCGAATTCGAATTTGATACGTTTATCGTTAACAATTATCTCAAAAAATCAACTGAGATTCTAATCGAGATTTTGATTTCAGAGCCAATTACCTCTCGCCTCACCGCGTGTGTAGTGTGTACGTGTGCGAGTGTGTGAGTGTGTGTGTGCGTGAACGTGTATACGAGTTTTCTGAGTCTGAGTGATTATTCATTTTCTGAGGGATTGATCTGATTGATCCGTCTGATTTACGTCTCATTTGATCCACTCAGTTTTCCACATTGGTCTATTCATTCTGCTGATCTGATTTGTGTGAAGCAACAGAAATCACACAACTGCAACAGCAATGACAATGATGACGGTTGCGGCGCTCCAGAAGGCAGCCGAGACATTGCTTTCGTCGGAAAAGACCGATGTCGCTTTATTGGATCAGGTAACCATAATCTCTTCTTCATTCCAGGACATGTTCAATTGTGAAGTTAAAGCCAAAAAATTTGATTCCATCGGTGATACTGATCGACATTTCAATGATCACTCCTCCAAACAAGACTGTTTTCATGGTCATTTCGAAGAGTTGTGTAGGCTGTCCTCAGTTGAACGTTTGGAGTGTTTGACCTTTGAGAATTTTCGGTTGCGAAAAAATCAAATTTAGGTCGTTAACGTGATGTATCGATCAACTGGTGAGACGCAACAAATGGCGTCGAGTATACTGTCGCAACTGAAAGAGCAAGAGGGCGCGTGGATGCGTGTCGATGGCATTCTGCAATTCAGTCAACTCATTCAAACAAAGTACTTAGCGTTACAAATCCTGGAGAATCTCGTGCTAACCAGATGGAAGACGTTGCCGAGAGAACAATGTGAAGGTTAATTTTTAGAAAATATTTTTCTGTTTCTGTTTCGTACCGATTATTTATTAGCATTCGTGATTCACTTTTGAATTAAGCTATCAGCTGTTGTCGAATCTGACATTGCTTCGCCATGATCGTGAGGTGAAATGCGGTGAAAATGTACATCAGTCCATTCATCAACCTTAATCGGCAGTAANATACTGATCGACATTTCAATGATCACTCCTCCAAACAAAACTGTTTTCATGGTTATTTCGAAGAGTTGTGTAGGCTGTCCTCAGTTGAACGTTTGGAGTGTT